AGACCACAACAAAAAGTGTCAGGATGGCGAGTGCGAGGACATCCAGGAACATGAGTTCCCAGATATCCCAGTGCCCCAGGAAAGCATTTCCAGGATTCAGAGCTGTCATAATCCCAGCTGAACAGCCAGGTAAATAACGGATCTAACACTATGCCTAAATTTACACATATTGCTAAATGAATAAAAACCACCACCGAATGGCCTCTTCCACACGTCATATCACCATCATTATTCCTCCCTCAGTTACACACACAGCCCACTGGAAGGATACAGTCAGCTTGCTCAGCTCCGGGCTGAATGACATTCTGAATCTCATCTAGCAGCTCGAAGTCGGGTAGCATGAGATGACGCTGAACTGAGATGTTCTGATACTGATCTCCATCTGCCAGCGAGTTGTCTGTCCCGTCTGTGCCGAAGAGAACCACCGCAATTTCATCTTTACTCTCTGCGAACACCTACCGGGAGATGGGCACAGGTTCACAACGTTCATTCGACCCAGAAGAGACTACCGGAGCTGGATTGAGGAGGCAGCGGGGGAAGTGCTGCACCCCATCAGATGGTCCGCCCACACACATCCCCTTCAGATGGTCCGCCCACACATCCCCATCAGATGGTCCGCCACACATCCCCATCAGATGGTCCGCCACACATCCCCATCAGATGGTCCGCCACACATCCCCATCAGATGGTCCGCCACACATCCCCATCAGATGGTCCGCCACACATCCCCATCAGATGGTCCGCCACACATCCCCATCAGATGGTCCGCCACACATCCCCATCAGATGGTCCGCCACACATCCCCATCAGATGGTCCGCCACACATCCCCATCAGATGGTCCGCCACACATCCCCATCAGATGGTCCGCCACACATCCCCATCAGATGGTCCGCCACACATCCCCATCAGATGGTCCGCCACACATCCCCATCAGATGGTCCGCCACACATCCCCATCAGATGGTCCGCCACACATCCCCATCAGATGGTCCGCCACACATCCCCATCAGATGGTCCGCCACACATCCCCATCAGATGGTCCGCCACACATCCCCATCAGATGGTCCGCCACACATCCCCATCAGATGGTCCGCCACACATCCCCATCAGATGGTCCGCCACACATCCCCATCAGATGGTCCGCCACACATCCCCATCAGATGGTCCGCCACACATCCCCATCAGATGGTCCGCCACACATCCCCATCAGATGGTCCGCCACACATCCCCATCAGATGGTCCGCCACACATCCCCATCAGATGGTCCGCCACACATCCCCATCAGATGGTCCGCCACACATCCCCATCAGATGGTCCGCCACACATCCCCATCAGATGGTCCGCCACACATCCCCATCAGATGGTCCGCCACACATCCCCATCAGATGGTCCGCCACACATCCCCATCAGATGGTCCGCCACACATCCCCATCAGATGGTCCGCCACACATCCCCATCAGATGGTCCGCCACACATCCCCATCAGATGGTCCGCCACACATCCCCATCAGATGGTCCGCCACACATCCCCATCAGATGGTCCGCCACACATCCCCATCAGATGGTCCGCCACACATCCCCATCAGATGGTCCGCCACACATCCCCATCAGATGGTCCGCCACACATCCCCATCAGATGGTCCGCCACACATCCCCATCAGATGGTCCGCCACACATCCCCATCAGATGGTCCGCCACACATCCCCATCAGATGGTCCGCCACACATCCCCATCAGATGGTCCGCCACACATCCCCATCAGATGGTCCGCCACACATCCCCATCAGATGGTCCGCCACACATCCCCATCAGATGGTCCGCCACACATCCCCATCAGATGGTCCGCCACACATCCCCATCAGATGGTCCGCCACACATCCCCATCAGATGGTCCGCCACACATCCCCATCAGATGGTCCGCCACACATCCCCATCAGATGGTCCGCCACACATCCCCATCAGATGGTCCGCCACACATCCCCATCAGATGGTCCGCCACACATCCCCATCAGATGGTCCGCCACACATCCCCATCAGATGGTCCGCCACACATCCCCATCAGATGGTCCGCCACACATCCCCATCAGATGGTCCGCCACACATCCCCATCAGATGGTCCGCCACACATCCCCATCAGATGGTCCGCCACACATCCCCATCAGATGGTCCGCCACACATCCCCATCAGATGGTCCGCCACACATCCCCATCAGATGGTCCGCCACACATCCCCATCAGATGGTCCGCCACACATCCCCATCAGATGGTCCGCCACACATCCCCATCAGATGGTCCGCCACACATCCCCATCAGATGGTCCGCCACACATCCCCATCAGATGGTCCGCCACACATCCCCATCAGATGGTCCGCCACACATCCCCATCAGATGGTCCGCCACACATCCCCATCAGATGGTCCGCCACACATCCCCATCAGATGGTCCGCCACACATCCCCATCAGATGGTCCGCCACACATCCCCATCAGATGGTCCGCCACACATCCCCATCAGATGGTCCGCCACACATCCCCATCAGATGGTCCGCCACACATCCCCATCAGATGGTCCGCCACACATCCCCATCAGATGGTCCGCCACACATCCCCATCAGATGGTCCGCCACACATCCCCATCAGATGGTCCGCCACACATCCCCATCAGATGGTCCGCCACACATCCCCATCAGATGGTCCGCCACACATCCCCATCAGATGGTCCGCCACACATCCCCATCAGATGGTCCGCCACACATCCCCATCAGATGGTCCGCCACACATCCCCATCAGATGGTCCGCCACACATCCCCATCAGATGGTCCGCCACACATCCCCATCAGATGGTCCGCCACACATCCCCATCAGATGGTCCGCCACACATCCCCATCAGATGGTCCGCCACACATCCCCATCAGATGGTCCGCCACACATCCCCATCAGATGGTCCGCCACACATCCCCATCAGATGGTCCGCCACACATCCCCATCAGATGGTCCGCCCACACATCCCCTTCAGATGGTCCGTCCACACATCCCCATCAGATGGTCAAGTGCATTACCTGTCTTTGCACAAACAACGTCATCACTTTCTTGGCCAGCTCAAATGGAGTCTCCTCCCCCTGGTGGGAGTGCGTCATCGCCAGACCGACATCCATGCACATCACCACCGCGCTCTGCAAGAGAATCGTACAGTTTACTCCACTGACAACAGAAATGTAAAACTGAATTCTGCTACTGAGTTGCCCCAGCCCAAAGAGCACACCAAACCTTCAACAGTTCAGCTTTTATTCCTGTCAGTCGGAGCCTCACATGTACGGAGTCTCATTTCATACTGTCTGAAAATGTTCAGCCAAAATGTCTTAGGCTACACTGACACTTATATGTGGTACTGAGGTGTATTGTTTTAAAGTGGTAACATGTACATCTGTTACTTGTTCCTAAACCGTACCCTAAAAAAGATGTACCCTTTGTCTGGAATTCCTCCTGAAAATTAGCAGTGCACTTCCTGTGCCTACAGCCTCATAGCTGTATATCTGCAGTGTGAGATCATCTCATTTCTGCCTCTGACTGCTAGTCCCAAAGATCTGGAGTGAGATTTCGGTGATGTCACTGGTGTGCAGCTCACTGTTCTCCTTGCGGGAGAGGAAGCCGTACCGGAGGACCTGCAGTGCAAGGAACTCCCTGCTTCTGCTTCATTTATCCGGCTACCTTACCAGTGACAGACGAAAGCAAAGCCCTGCTCCTCCACAAAGATGGCCGCCTCTATAGGGAGACACAGTGCAGGAGAATGACAAATAATACGTCATTAATGGGGAATAGATCAGCTCAGGAAGCCGACAGGCAATACTGGTGACCAGTCCTTTGCCTTTTCTGGTCACAGATTCCAGAATTCATCAGGCCGGGTTCATTCCCATGGCTGCAGGAAAACACTCATTACTGCAAAGCGTTAAAACATACGGGTTGTACATTTTGGTGCTGCAGTGCCATTCATTCTTAAAGGAGAACTATGAGATGAGTGATTTCCACTCACCTCATAGTTCTAGCCGACCTGTGACAATGACACTGTCACAGGTCCGCTCAGTAGATCGGGAGGTGAGCGAACACATACCGGGTTCACTCACCTCTCGATCCTGTCACGGCTCTCTGCCGTGACAGGGGAGGGGCTGGATTCCCCCCTCCCCGCTCCGATCCACCAGCGCTGACTGGCAGAACGGACGGGGGGGGGGGCGGGTACAGATGACCCTGCCTCTAGATAGGCAGAGCCAGCTGTCACTCACGCAGCGGGGCGGATCCCGACGTCCAGGTCGGGATCCGCTCCGGCTGCGGCGTCTCAGTATATAGGTAGCTGTTGCTCGCGGCATACTGAGCTTAGGGTAACGGGAGGACGCTAGTTTGTGTCCTCCCGTTAACCTAAGGAGAACTATGGGAAAAAACACTGACCCCATAGTTCTCCTTTAATAGCACACCAACATACCTTGCCAACACGTGTGTTTTAGCGCACCACAACGTGCAGTAACATATTAACGTGTTTTGTGGCGTGCTGCCATCCAACAAATTACATGCACCATCTATGGTGCGCTTTAGTGCTCTGAAGAGCCCCCTTCAAATTAATGGAAGTAAGCACAAAAGGGGCGCCTTTCCTGGTGCAGATCAATTTTATTTCAGTAGATATAAGTGAAAAACCGAATGGTACTCACAATACATGAAAATCACACAGCCATGGGATAAGAGATGACAGGCAGTAAGATATCCACTAGGCGATGCCAATGTGTAGTGACGTTTACGCGTTTCCGGGGCACGCCCCCTTCATCAGAACAGTTCTGATGAAGGGGGCGTGCCCCGGAAACGCGTTTTCATGTATTGTGAGTACCATTCGGTTTTTCACTTATATCTACTGAAATAAAATTGATCTGAACCAGGAAAGGCGCCCCTTTTGTGCTTACTTCCTAGATTCCCAGCTTCTTTGGGGCAGCGTCCTGCAGTGTGCCTGAGAGGATTCCCCACTGGGGATTGACCGTCCGTGGCGCTTCATTGTTTTTATTTTGTCCCTTCAAATTAATGGGCCACTGTAAAAAAAAATGCACATTACTAGGGAAGCACCGATACTAGTATCAATAGTGATACAGAGTATTTGGTCGCCCAAATGCTCCAATGCCTATACCGATATTGGAACTTCCTGTATTAGGAAGCCGGGCAGAGCGAAAAAACGCTGCCCAGCTTCCTGATTGGCTGGGAAGCCGACTCCCGAGCCAAGCAGGAAGCCGGGAGGCGGGTATTGAGTCGACCCCCCCCGGCTTCCTGATTGGATATGGAGCCAGCCTTCCGGCCAATCAGGAAGCCGGGCAGCGTGTAATGACTCACCGCCACAGCTCCCTGATTGGTTGGGAAACTGACCAATCAGGAAGCCGTGTGGCGAGTCATTACCCCCCCCCCCGGCTTTCTGATTGGTCAGAAAACCGGCTTCATGCTCCCTCGTCATTTAGTGACGTGGGAGCATGGAGATGGCTTTCGTGCTAATCAGGATGCCAGGCAGTGAGTCTTTACATGCTTCCTGGATTCCTTAATGCGACTTCTGGTAGCATGGATTCGGCTTCCCGGCCAATATGGGTGGGAAGCTGGCCAATCAGGAAGCCAGGCGGCGAGTCATTAGATGGCGTACAAATTCCTTAATGGAACTTCTGGTATCGGCGAGTAGAGAAAAAAAATATCGGTACTCGTACTTGATACTGAAAAACCGGTAACGGTGCGTCTCTACACATTGGCATACTTTATGTGAATGGACCACAAAGGAGTGAACGCAGCCTTTAGGATTGCGCTTTGCTGGCTTTGTTTTGGTGTGGTTTCCAGCAGGTCCATCTTCTATAATACTCTATGACACCAATGTCATGGTTAGACCCTGCGTAACATTTATTAAGCGATTCCATATAATAGAAAAATAAATCAATATAAAAAAACTTAATTAAAAAAAAAATACATAAAACAAAGTTCACTCAAACCAATTGTATTTATCCTCAAATAAATCATTGTCCTTAGCAATTTGACACGGAAATGAATATCAGCAGAAATATGAACACCCCCATCTGGTGGACAACAGAGGGATCAGCAGGCGTGGTGTCATCAAGGCAGCTGCCTGGACAAGTCCCAACTGTATACAACTCTGCTCTCACTTAAAGTGACATTAAACTCCGGAGTTAAATCTTAAAAATACATTCAAGTATCTTAAATATTAACAACAATGTATCTTATTTGTGTGTCACTCGGCTGTAGATCCTCCAATCATCTCTGAATTGGTGCTGACACTGTCCTTCCTTCTGGAGGGGGGCTACTTGTGTTCCCCATGGTCCCTGTGTGTGTTGTAAAGTAGTCACCATTCCAAGTCCCCCTCTCCCTCCCCGGGATGTCCATCCCGGGAGCGAGCTTGGTGCGGTGACCATTGGGAACAAAAGTCTCCCCCCTCCAGAAGGAAGGACAGTGTCAGCACCAATTCAGAGATGATTGGAGGATCTACAGCCGAGTGATACACAAATACGATACATTGTTGTTCATAGTTGAGGTACTTGAATGTATTTTTAAGATTTAAAGGAGAACTATGAGGTGAGTGGGCTGGGCTAGGGAACTGACTCTTCCTGGAGAAGTCAAATTTTCTAGCAAGTTCGGAGGTACACTGCAAGTGAATACAAAATGATTTACAAATTTCCCTTAATAATAATTATTACAACAAAAATAATACTACCCCCAATAACATGACAGATGAGGTGACACTGAACTACTAACCAGGGGGTGTCATCTCTAGATGTAGACAGGCTGTAGGCAGATCCCACAGCATTTGTTCAGTCTTGAAAATGAAAGAGAGAAGCTGATTGGTTGTCATGCACAGCTGCTCCAGATATTGTCTGCTCCAGTTTTGATAAATTACCCTCAATGTAATATACAAATGTGTGTATGGGGAGAGGGTCAGTGTAGGGAGGGGAATACTGTGCACACAAGAACTCTGTTCTCCATACCTTGGCTGCTCGCGCCATCTCTGCCTCTTCTCCTTCTTACAGGTGCAGCAGGAAAACCCTTCCCGGTATCCATAGCGATCACAACGTTGGGTTCCGCCTGAGAGTGTGCGGCAGCGGCCACTAGTGGCCAGTCTGGGGAATGGCACATACAGCTGCAGTAAGGGTAGCTGTAGGGAGATGGATCTATAGATATAGAAATGATGATTGATAATTATAGATACAATTTTGTTTTACATTTTGGATAGAGTTGGGAAGTGTTAGAATCCCTGTAAGGACTTTATTGCTATTTGTGTTCCAGCAAACCACCTCCCGTGTTTATTTCTCAGGCTACCCAATGTATAGCAGTACGGAATGGGGACAGCCTTTGACTCTTGGCCAATCACCTTCGGCTGTGTCACCTCACCTACTGTGAGGAGGGTTCCTGCCACCTGAAATAGCCATAGATTGTATGGATGAGCCGGTCCTGATTGCTGGGTCATGGGCTAGGATTTCCAACATCAGTACATCAGCCCGATCGCCACGAATCCAAACACCCCATGACCACTGCGAGCACGGTCCAAATAACCTTTTTTGTGGTCCCTAGGATGTTCTACAGAGCCATAATAATATACTGTTTTGCATTTCACTCATAGCATGTCCTATCATAGGGGAAAGGTTCACCCCCCTATCACTAATATCTTGGATGTTATTAGAGATGAAATACAATCTCTCTGAGCTTTGGAAAATGATAACCTGGAGTCTCAGTGTGTACAGAACCTGCTGAGTTTGATCCACCTGGTCTGTTGGATTCTTATAGAGCCCATTTACACTATATGCAATAAAGTAAACACACAGCCTTTCCTGGTGCAGATCAATTTTATTTCGGTAAACATGAAGTAAAAAGCAGGAAGGTACTCACAAAGGATGAGTGTCACACAGTCATGTAAATTACGCTGACAGGCAGTAAGCATCCACTGGATGGATCCTGTGTGATGGTGACGTTAACGCGTTTCCGGGGCACGCCTCCTTCTTCAGTTCTGTAATTTACATGATAGGACCGGGTCTTCTATCGACTATGGATCTCAACTGCGGTGTCTGGGTACGGGTATCAGAGTAACAGCTGCCCTCACGTGCCCCGTTTTTGTAGGAGGCTGAGAGGGAGCTGTTTCACATCATTTCCCCGCAAGGGTTAAGGGAGCCGAGTAGACACAGATATAACTGGTTAATCACAGCAGTGGGTATAACTAGTATGAGGTTACAGTATAGCTGGATCAGGTGGCTGAGAGCAGCCTTATTAGGAGTCTGGACCAGAGTTCAGAGTGGAGAGGGAGTTGTGTGGGTGCAGGAAGCACAGAGCACAGCTACATCCCAGCTACATTTAGGAAACCCTGGAAGGACCTGAAAAGCCAGGCTCTTCCTTAAAGCATTGTTAATATTCTGGACCCTCTCAGCCCCTTTGTCTGAGAGTCCTGGTTGCCAAAGTCGCCATAATACACCGTGGCATTGGCTTACCCTGCCACACTGTCCCCGGGGCATTCCCCAACTCACAGCTGCCCAATCAGTTGCAGGCCAGGGAATTCCCATCTCACAGCTGTACATAAAACAATGGGGCGGGATGCTTGTGCTGACATTATTGACCTTATATGGCCATATGAGGTCAGTGACCATATAAGGTCAATGAAGTCACAGCACCCCTCCCCTTTGCTTACAAGCAGCTGCGGGCAGGGAAGGAGTTTCCTTCTGGCTTTGGAGCTCAGGTTCATAGTGAACCTGAAAGGGCCATGTGCCGACCCGCCCAATCAGCGGGCCAGGGAATTCTCCACCCCGCAGCTATACATAACCAAAGGGGTGGGCTGCTTGTGCTGACATCATTAACCTTATATGGTCATATAAGGTCAGTGGCCATATAAGGTCAATAAAGTCATAGCACCCCGCCCCTTTGCTTTCATGCAGCTGCAGGCAGGGATAGAGCTCAGGGTTTGGGGCTCTGATTCATACCGAATCTGAAAGGGCCATAGGGCCACCCACCCAATCAGCTGCAAGCTAGGGAATTCCCCACCCCAGAGCTGTACATAAATAAAGGGGTGGGTTGCTTGTGCTGACATCATTGACCTTATATGGACATATTGCCAGTGTCAGAGGCCAAATATAGCCATGTGGCCATATAAGGTCAAAGAAGTCACAGCATCCCATGCCTTTGGAGACGTGCAGCCACAAGTGGGGAATTCCTGTGGCCGCAGCTGATTGGGTAGAGCTTCCTTCTGGGTTTGGAGGAGCTTAGGTTCATTCTTTTATATGAGCAGAGGGTTTATTGTAAGGCTGATCGATATCTGAGGTCTGTTGTATTTCCAGGGACATATCTCTGAAAACTGGGACATTTCCGGGGACAGATGAGCAGAAGCCGAGCCTGTCCCTGGAAATGATAGATACAATATGACCAGCTTGTCAATAATCTTCTTTCTGGGACCTCCACACCGCCCCTCCCGCGGCCTGTCCTGCGGAGGCGGCGGAAGGTCAGCAGTCTGCTCTTTCATCATGGCATGTTTTGTGGCTTCTTCTCCGCAGCAGCTGTGTGATTGTCCGCCATTCAGCATTGGTGGGTGATAAGATCATCGGAGGCCCGTTCTGAATATAGAATTGCCCTTCCTCTTCTATTCCTGAGGCTGGCTGCCGGCACAGAGAGGAGACTATTTACAGCACAATGGCGCATTCACCCCGACAAGGCCGTCCTGTACAGGGGGAGCATTGTGCGTCCGGCCTGCTGCTGGGAAGTCAATGAAAGTCCCGAACCGTTCACAGAGCAGACAACAATCACCAGTGATCCCATTTCACTGCATATAATACACTATATGGCCAAAAGTGCACACCTGACCGTGTCACCTGTATGAGCTCACATCCCACTCCGGAACCCTGCGCAATAAAGACAATGAGGGGAAACAGCTTCTCTGTTTCATTTTCAACTCTTACATGAACAAACTGAAGAGAGCCCCTGATTGGTTGCCATGGGCAACTGCTCCAGATTCTATCTGCTCCAGTTTTGATCAAATCTCCCCAATATCTCTTTCACCCCCCTTTTCCCCACCACATCATTCCTGACTATTATGAGTGGACTTAGTCCCCGTTCACACAGGGGTATCGGAAACGCGTGTCAAACGCGCACAAACGCTGCCGAGCAAGCATGCCTTTTTCCAGCGTGTGAACGCGCAGGAAAAAAGAGCAGAACGCATGTCACACAATTTGCTACACACACTACTTTCCTGTGTTTGGTGCACGTCCAGGAACCCGTTTAAATCAATGGGGACATGCACCAAATGCGTGGGGAAAACGCCCGCATTCCCGCGACAATATGGTGTGAACGTTGACCTTGAGTGCATTGTACTAGTGACACCAGTGGCGTAACAATCGCCCATAGCGACCCAGGCGGCCGCTATGGGGCCCGGGCACAGGGGGGGCCCGGCCAGGGCATCCCTCTGATGCCGTGCAGGCCGCCTGGGTCGCTATGGCATCTCAGGGGGCTGGCTGTCAAGAGGAACGCGCCCCGTTCTTCCTCACATCCGCTGCTGAGCTGTGTCAGTGACAGCCAGCAGCTGCTGCAAAAGAGATTGGACCCCGCGTTTGCAGTGAAGGAGGAGGCGGGCCCAGTCCGGCGACCTATGAGCAGGAGGGGTCAGTGATGTAAGAGGAGGCGGGGCCCATCGATAGAGGAGAAGGCAGGGCCCGACGATGAAAGAGGAGTTGGGGCCCGGGGACGGAAGAGGAGGCGTGGCCCGGCCACCACGGAGGTGGACCGTGCTGACAGGTAAGAGGTGTGCAGCCCACTTAAAACCCTGCAGAGCCCGCCATAGAGAGTCTATGGTGGGCTCTGCAGGGTCACTCTCAGGTGGGCTGTTTGGTATATCAGGTGGGCTCTGCAAGTGGCATAACTAGCAATCACGGGGCCCCATACAAAATTTTGCTATGGGGCCCTGTGATTTCTAGTTACGCCCCTGAGCGACACTAAACTCAGGAGTGAAATCCTAAAACATGCATTCAAGTCCCTGAACTCTGAACAACAATGTATCTTATTTGTGTATCACTCGGCTGTAGAGCCTCCAATCATCTCTGAATTGGTGCTGACATTGTTCTTCCTTCTGGAGGGTGACTACTTTTGTTCCCCATGATCCCTGTGTGTGTTGTAAAGTAGTCACCGCTCCAAGCTCGCTCCTGGGATGGACTACAACCTCATGTTTAGTTTACTCATTTGTATTGACATTGTAGTCCATCATCAATGCTAAAGCCTGATGAAGGGACCCTGTGTGGTCCCGAAAGCGCTTGTTCATATGACAAAGAACTTCAATAAATGAAGCTTTTGCTGTCCTAAAAGGACTGGTGTGCTGGTGACATTTCTACAATTTGCTGATATCTGTGTCCCCATCTGCACTGCGAGCGCCCCCCACTACAAGGGACATATCGGTAAGGAGTGCAACAAGGATAGTATTTATTAAAGATGAAAGAGAGGGACATATTGATGATAATGGGAGAGATCGGTGATAATGGGAGATATCGGTGATAATGGGAGATATCGGTCATAATGGGAGATATCGGTGATAATGGGAGAGATCGGTGATAATGGGAGAGATCGGTGATAATGGGCGAGATCGGTGATAATGGGAGATATCTGTGATAATGGGAGATATCGGTGATAATGGGAGATATCAGTGACAATGGGAGATATCGGTGACAATGGGAGATATCGGTGATAATGGGAGAGTTTGGTGATAATGGGAGATATCGGTGATAATGGGAGATATCGATGACAATGGGAGATATTGGTGACAATGGGAGATATCGGTGATAATGGGAGATATCGGTGATAATGGGAGATATCAGTGATAATGGGAGATATCGGTGACAATGGGAGATATCGGTGATAATGGGAGAGATTGGTGATAATGGGAGACATCGGTGATAATGGGAGAGATTGGTGTCCTGTATTCAGGGTTTCATTTTCGGTATCTGTTCTTATTCTGTATGTATGGACTCTGGACTCCTGGAAGTCATTTTTGATATTTGCTCTTATTCAGTGCTCAGCTTCCTCTCTCCTTC